AAAATGTTGTAAAATGTTGTAAAATGTTGTAAAATGTTGTAAAATGTTGTAAAATGTTGTAAAATGTTGTAAAATGTTGTAAAATGTTGTAAAATTTTGTAAAATGTAAAATATTACAAAATGTCGTAAAATGTCTTAAAATTTCGTAAAATGTCAGAAAATGTCCGAAAATGACAGAAAATATCAGAAAATGTGAGAAAATGTAAGAAAATGAAAGAAAATGTAAGAAAATGTAAGAAAATGTAAGAAAATGTAAGAAAATGTAAGAAAATGTAATAAAATGTAATAAAATGTAAGAAAATGTAAGAAAATGTCAAAAAATATCAGAAAATGTCAAAAAATATCAGAAAATGTAAGAAAATGTAAGAAAATGTAAGAAAATGTAAGAAAATGTAAGAAAATGTAAGAAAATGTAAGAAAATGTAAGAAAATGTAAGAAAATGTAAGAAAATGTAAGAAAATGTAAGAAAATGTAAGAAAATGTAAGAAAATGTAAGAAAATGTAAGAAAATGTAAGAAAATGTAAGAAAATGTAAGAAAATGTAAGAAAATGTAAGAAAATGTAAGAAAATGTAAGAAAATGTAAGAAAATGTAAGAAAATGTAAGAAAATGTAAGAAAATGTCAAAAAATATCAGAAAATGTAAGAAAATGTATGAAAATGTCAGAAAATGACAGAAAATGTCAGAAAATGTCAGAAAATGTCAGAAAATGTCAGAAAATGTCAGAAAATGTCAGAAAATGTCAGAAAATGTCAGAAAATGTCAGAAAATGTCAGAAAATGTCAGAAAATGTCAGAAAATGTCAGAAAATGTCAGAAAATGTCAAAAAATGTCAGAAAATGTCAGAAAACGTCAGAAAATGTCAGAAAATGTCATAAAATGCCAGAAAATGTCAGAAAATGTCAGAAAATATCAGAAAATGTCAGAAAATGTCAGAAAATGTCAGAAAATGTCAGAAAATTTCAGAAAATTTCAGAAAATGTCAGAAAATGTCATAAAATGTCAGAAAATGTCATAAAATGTCAGAAAATGTCAGAAAATGTCAGAAAATGTCAGAAAATGTCAGTAAATGTCAGAAAATGTCAGAAAATGACAGAAAATGACAGAAAATGTCAGAAAATGTCAGAAAATGTCAGAAAATGTAAATGTCGTAAAATGAGGTAAAATGTCGTGAAATGTAATAATTTGTTTACGAAGAAAGATTCATTTAAATTAAAATGCTCACCATTTGCAGCCATTCATTGTCTCTGTGCTTCATTTATTGTTTCAGTATTTCTTAGCGCCTCTTCATAATTATGTCCAATATATTTCCTCGATCAAAACGCGTCCGGACAAATCTTCTATTCCCGACGATATAATTGATCATCGTATCATGTTCAATTCTATATCAACCCTTTGATACGTCAATATCTCCGGGTAGTATTTCTGCAGCCTTGTCCATTTGATCCTGGAAGGTATATCCAGGGACAGTGTAATGTAAATCAAAGTTCTACATTGACATCGAAGGACATACATTCCAAGATCAAACGTCCTTATTGTCAGAGAGAAATGAACATGAGCTCAGACTATTGATATCGTGCTACCGATAACTCGAAAAATTTTCGGCGATTTAATTTTTTTATGGAAATTCGCTGAAAATAAAAAAAACGATTTAGGATTTTTTAATGTCAAAGGAGGATATTTTTTATTTGTTTGGTATTTATAAAAAAATCCAAAATTGCAAAATTAAAAATAAATTAAAATGAAGAATATCCACCTTTGAGTGTAAATATCTCGAAAACAATCCCTTTATGAGTTCCCAACAAAAGTACATGATTTATTTAAAAAAACATCAAAAAATGTAAAAGGATAATCCAAATTAGTTTTTGGATAGTGACGTGAAATTTGAGGGGATGAAGGCGTTACCTATATATGTCGTACGCCACAGGCAGAATTTATTTATTTGATTTTTTGGCTTACATAACTTTTAAATATCCCAGTATGTCATTTAAAAATGATATATAGTTTTAAATGACTTAATATCAGCTACTAACATGCATTACAAAATACATAAAATTCCATTAAAAATAACGTACAGAGGCGATCAACTTTTTGACTCACTCTGTATGAAATGTTTAAAAATTTTATTATTTTCAACCAAGCCAAAACAAATTAATATTCCTACCAAAATATAATTTTAACCTTAAATCAACTTTTCGTGATTTTTGGTTCACCCAGTTACTAATAATACTTTGCCTTATAAATGACTTATATTTGATATCATTGTAATAGCATATCATAACAGAAAAACCTTGAATTTATAAAAAAAATGTGAGAATTTCTTTTATTTAATAAATTTGCTTTTTTCAACTTTAACACCTTGAATATCAAAAACTAGTCATAGAATTGTCGATGTAAAGAAACCATAAAATGCTTCTTGTGTGTGGTGAGGAAATTAATTGTTCATACCTATCTGTCATTACCAAGTTTTATACCTCACATTTTAAAAAAGTTATCATTATATAACTTTAAAATACTCAAAATAAAGTAAATTTAAAAAAATACGCAATTTCACCGACGAAATTTTTAAATATAGAACGAGACATGAAAAAGGCATTTTTTTATGGTTAACAAAATAGTTTAAGGCCACAGTAGCACACTCCAATATTCGTAACATTAACTAATTTTGATAGATGTCATTTATATGTCATATTTAAAAATCCTTTTGTTCAACAGATTGAGCAATATTAATGGTTCTCTTGTTCAACAGATGGCGTAACAATTCTATTAATTTTAAACGGTAACTGTTATAATATAACAGATTCATCACCCCCAGCCACTACGCGGTAGGTAAACGAATTCTTGACCGTGAAAAATAATTTGTATGTAGCAGGTAAATAAAAGTTTTGGATTAATTTCCGGCCATCGGTATATTTACTTAGTAGTTCATTATTGTGTCCAGTCAACAATGGACAAAGATCTTAGAATCTTGGTATCATTACGTAGGGACCTATTATGTAGTGTTCCGTTAAGAACGGGACATAAAACAACTGACGATTCTCTGATTAAAAATAAGACAACTAAACGAAGCATGTAAAATGTATCTCGTTTCCGAAATACAGTGTTAAAATTTTAAAATCTAAAAATTATTTATGAATATATTTTTTTATTACTCCCTACAATTTTAAAAAATTTGACAAACGTTTTTGGTGTCATAATATCCACCTATCAGCAAAAAAATATGTTACCTAAGTTAACATTTCCAGTGGCATACAGCATTGGTACGTAATATCGCATCACTCCTAAAGTTATTTGGACATAAAATTTTAAATTTTTTGATGTTTTTTAAAATAAATAATGTACCCTTCTTAGAAATTAATAAAAAAAATCGAAATTTAAAAATTTCAGAATTTCAAAATATATTAAAATATCCCAAAAATTAACTCAACTTTATTTGAAAAACTTAAAAAAATTTTGGACAGTGGACTAAAATTTAGAAAGGGTGTAGATGTTACCTGCCACTGACAAAGCTTATTTAACTGATTTTATGCTGATAAGGTGTATTTCATTACACCAATAACGTTTGCCGAATTTAGTGAAATTAAAGTGAGTAATAAAAAAATTGTTTTTTTTAAGGTGAAGGGGGGGAGAAAAAGTCCTTTATATCTCACAAGGAAAGTCCAATGTTTAATTATTCAACAAAACATTGAGTGCGACCGGTTTCGAAGTAACATCACTTCATCTTCAGGCTCGCCTAGTGGAAAGGAGAATATGTGGTGTAAGGTGTAAACTTGACAGGTCTCCTTTCAAAAATGTTAGATTTTTATAAAAAACAGCAATGTTTGCTTAAAACAGGCCTTATCTTTTAATCTGTTTAATGTATGTAATTTGTTTTTGTATCGTCTTGAATATTTTAAAATTTTTAACTGTTTTATCGACTAATATTTGTTTTTCAAATATTTTTAACTTTATAACTTGTAACATTGTTTTGTTTTACAATTTATTTCATCCCCCACGTTTTGATGAAACTGGTTTGTAGTATTCCCTAGTGGATGGAGAGTATGGTGAGTTTTTTCTATTTTTTCTATTTTTTACTATTTACACCTTACACCACATATTCTCCTTTCCACTAGGCGAGCCTGAAGATGAAGTGATGTTACTTCGAAACCGGTCGCACTCAATGTTTTGTTGAATAATTAAACATTGGACTTTCCTTGTGAGATATAAAGGACTTTTTCTCCCCCCTTCACCTTAAAATTACTTCAACTCACACATGGCTACCCCCCTTGTCAAAAAAATTGTAGCTATTTATAATTTTTGATTTTCAACTTTAACACCCTTTATTTCGGAAACGAGTAATGTTTTATCTACGGATGTTTCGTTTAATCGGCTTATTACTAATCAGTTAATCTTCAGTTGCTCTATGTCCCCTATTCTTAATGGAATACCCTGATACCGAAAGGTCATGCAGCCAAAAACCAAATTAAAAAAGAAAAAGAAAAATATAAAAAAAAAAGTGTTTTAATTACCTTATTTACCCACATAGTAAAAACTATTTTCAAAAAATTTAATCTCATTTATATACGTGAGTTGGCGGCATATGGAAAACTTTTTATGAATTTTAGAAAAATACTTGTTTTTCATAAACATTTGCTTGGTCTACAACCTAAAATTGTATACGAGGTTTATCAAATATAGGGTAAAATGGGGTAATGGCGGTCACAAGCAAAAATGTCATTAAAAAAAAGTAAAAACAATATATTTATTCAAAAAGTAAAAACATATAACATAACCTGGATTAAACCACAGGAAAAAACTCTAATCTAATATTTTTAACTAATATTAATTTTGAAAAAAAATACCTATTTGACCGGTATTATCCTTGCTCTCGGACAAAACCGGTCATGTATCCAGGCATTACCGGTCAACATGAACGCAATGGTCACAAATATAAGCTGTCGGCGAGTCCTTTCCAGGACATTGGGAGTGTGCCCATAACCCACAAATAGTACACCTGTACCATAACTCATTGTCTGCACCATAGTCATCACATATGCCACATAAATTCAAATTAACATCATTATTTTCAGTGTCACTGCAAACATCATTCATGTCAATATCTGACTCGGATGATGATGGTAATCTTGATTTCATCCTCCTTAATTTTGCTCTCTTCTCAATTATTTTTTGGCTCGTGCTTGTTGACTTATCATTTTTATTTCCATTTTCAGGCGAATGCAGGATTTTTCTTTTGACTTCTGTTAATTTCCTTCGCTTATTTTTTTCCTTCTCCAAATTTTCAGGCGAGTGCATTTTCTTTATTTTGGCTTCGGTTAATTTCCTTCGCCCATCTTTATTATTTTTTCCTTCTCCAATGTAACTTCTCTGTTCTCTTCCTTCTTTTCTAGCAGCAGTTTAAGGGGGGTAGATGTTAAAATCGTGGAGTGTTGTTTTGGCCTTCCTTTTGACTTTTGTACTCTATTAACTTTTTTGGGCTTTGGAAGTAGTTCATCAACACTTACGTTAAGAGAAGACAGGGGTCTTTTAGAAGTTGATGGAACCGCAGCCACCTCATCGTTAGAAAGTTGAGTTTCTTCAGAAGTCAATGGAATCGCTGCTTCTTCAATGATATGTGAAGTTTTATCTACTGTAGTAGAAGGAATTTGATCCACCTACTTTTCAGAATTAGAAGATTCCATTTCAAAATTATCGATGACTGCTACTTCTACGGGATCATTTAAAACATTGGCTGCCAAGAAATCTTCATCTTTAAACACAGTGGGATCGATTGGAAAGATTCCTGTTAATCTGAAACCTGATTCTCCTTCACCAACTGATGCAACATTAGAAAATGCTTTGTGAAACAATGAAGCAACTTCATATGGTGTTATTTTCTCCCCTGCGTGGGATTTCATGTAAAGATTGCATTTATTTCTATAGTGAGCTTTAAGGGGGCCATAAAATGAAACGTCTAATGGTTGTGTCCTATGTGACGTATGAGGTGGTATAGACAGCATAATGATATGATTATCTCTGCAATAGTTGTAGGCTGCGAGAGATATTTGACTGCTGTGATTATCTAAAAGTAACAAGACTTTTTCGTTTTCGGATGGCTTTGAATAATTCACAAAATGTTTAAGCCATTCTAAAAATAATTGCTCCGTAATCCAACCATTTTTGCTGCATGCATAAGTAGCACCAGGAGGGCCATTTCTTTCCAAATGGGGCGAATGTCTCTGTCGAGGAAAAATGAACATTGGCGGCGTAAATTGCCTGTCGCACTCATTGCACAAACTACAGTTATATTGCGACCCCTTTCCCAGCTTGTTACGGAGCCAACTCTTTTTTGACCTTTGGCGGCCAGATCTTTTTCTGGGTCCTGCACTGTGGAAATTCCAGTCTCGTCTACATTGTGAATATTTCTGGCTGAAAACTGATATTTCCCCATAACTTGTTACAAAAGTTCGAAAAACCTGTCAACTTCCAATTTGTTAAAGGCAGTTATTCTATTCAAACTGGTAGCCTCTGTCTTCCGAATAGAAATATGATTTCGTTTTAGAAAATCCTGAAGCCACTCGTCACCTGCAGATTTAGATGTAGTACAGAAATTATGTTTAATGCCGTTTTTTTCTGCAAATTCAAAGGCCATACGCCTTACTTCCTTATTAGTACATCCAAAAAATATAGACGCTAAGTACTTTATTTGGTTTGCCATTTCACATTCTTGTTCCCTTGTAAAAACAGGGTTTCTTCCCAAACTAGGTATATCAAAATTTTCTTTTTTAGCCTTTCTTGAAATGTAGAAAATGGAATTCCACATCGTTTTGCAGCCATTCGCATTGAAACTCCTTCTTCATATAACTGCTTCGCTGCATTTAATGATTCAACTGACCATTTTACCTTATCAGGCATAGATACTTCAGGCCCACCAGCATGGTTTGTGAAGATGGAAGAGAAGAGAGTAAGGCGAGAAAAGGAAAAGGAAAGGCGTAGAAAGGAAGAAGAGGAGGAAGAGGAAAGGCGTAGGAAGGAAGACGAGGAGAGAGTAAGGCGAGAAGAGGAAAAAGAAAAGGCGTAGGAAGGAAGAAGGGGAGGAAAAGAAAAGGCGTAGGAAGGAAGAAGAAGAGAAAAGGGGAAAGGCGAGAAGAGGAGAAGGAGGAGATGCATATAAAAGCGGAGTTGAAGATTATAAATGGGTTATTACAAATCCAGGAAACCTTCAAGCAAGAGGTAAATCAGCTGAAAATTACAGTAGATCTGTTAGAGCAACAACAAGAGCATCTAAAAGCTTATTTAGAACAGCAGCAAGAACATTTAAAAACTAATTTAGAACAACAACGAGAGATTTTAAAACAACAAGAAAAGGCTAGAGTAGAGTTCAAAAGGCAAATTAGAACTGAACTGGTTGAGTTAGAAAGAATAATTCGTAGCCAAACTTCTATAAACAATAGAGAAACTGGAAACACTACCTCGTCTTCATCCATAACCGAACCAAGCCACATTCAAATCCCAGTTTCACAAAACTATACTAGCAAGACCCTTAAGCCACCCACGTTTGACGGTCAGACAACATGGGAAACATATCGACTCTAATTTGAAACTGCAGCTAGATCCAATGGCTGGACCGAGAAAGAGAAGGCCGCTTCATTGACAGTATCACTGCGAGGTCAGGCAGCAACCGTTTTACAGTTACTTCCTCAAGAGAAACCCAGTTATTCATCTCTCGTCTAAGTTTTGGAGACAAGATATGGTCAGCAGCATTTGAAACGGGTATTTCAAAGCCAGCTAAAAATTCGTAGTCAGAAACATAATGAGAGTCTACAGGAATTCGGGGCCGACATAAAAAGATTGATTCATCTGGCCTATCCACAGGGGCCCAAAGATTTCCAAGAACAAATCGGAATAGAGGCATTCATTGATGGATTACAAGATGCGGAAATGCAGCAAGTCCTACGTCTACAACATCACAAGACGCTGACGGAGAAACTGATTACAGCCCAGGAATATGAAGCGGTAAAACTCCTATCCAGATCTCGCGCAAAAGTGAGGGAAATTAAATCCCAGGAAAGTGAGGAGGCTAATACTAATGCTATTCCCCAAATCTTAAATATCCTACGAAATATGCAACGAAACAGCCAAAATGGAAGCAGGAGATGCTTTAATTGCGGAAGAATCGGGCATCTTCAAAAAACCTGTAGGAGCATGGCTCATTCTATAAATCGAGAATTAGCGAATGAGACCGGAAAATCATATAGATCAATCTTTCCAAGCCCATCACTAAGACCAACAAGAGTTAATTACAGCAGCTATGCGGCCCGAAGAAGCCAATCACCCACATCAAGCCGGTTTTCTAACAATAACCAGAAAGTAGAGCATCGAAGAGGTCTCCATAGCAACGAAGACATTCCGATCGGGCAACCCCGTTTAGATGGCTTAAAGGTTGTCCAAGAATGGCTCATTAAAAGTCACACCTACTTGGCAAGATATAGCCAAATACAGTAGAACTATAAAAGGCTACTGGACCCAGTGATACTTCCTGTGTCTTCACGATGGCCTATTGCACCGGAAGTGGGAGAGTCCAGATGGAGTACATGTAGTCCGCCAAGTGATACTGCCGAGGTCACAGGTGAGAAATGTATTGGAGGATGCTTCATAGCAGCCGTTCATGAGGACACTTTGATACTAAAAGGACACTGGCACGAGTTCGGGAAAGATTTTATTGGGTCAATTGCCGACGGGAAGTAGCGGATTGATGTAAAAAATGTGATGTGTGCAATGGAATTCGCTAGGGAACGACTGGAAGCTCACACCGATAAAGCAGAAGCTAGAATCGACAGGTATGCCACAGATACACATTTTGAGAGGGGCGACAAGGTATGGCTGTGCAATCCCAAGTAGCGAGGAGGACTTCGTCAGAAATCGCAATGGAACTGGAAAGGCCCCTACTCCATCCTTAAGGAAAATCAACGACTTGATCTGCCGTGTCTCTTACCCTGGCTTTATTGGGCTTGACATATGCTGCCTTCGATCATGGTGGACTGTATCGTATTATATTACCTGGGGGAGGCCTTATGCTCCACCCTGTAGCCTCTGGAAGATATTCTTGACGTTCTGGTTGAATCACTGGGTTTATTCAAATAAAACTATCACCCTATATTTTGAATTGGATATATTCACTGCTTGCTGATTTCACATTTTGCATATTTTTTAATTGGTTACATAAATCCGTTAAATCTATTAATCGATTACATATTAATTTTTCGTATATCAACTCGCACAATGCTTGAAATTAATTTTACCGGTGAATGCCGGCTTTGTAAAAGTTTTTACGTGTTAGTGGTTTGACTGACAAAGCGAAAGTGATTCGTTTCGGTTTTACGTGCAAGCCTGCTAGCCCGCGTCGGCTTTACTGGCTTTTTCTCATTGGTTATCTTAAATCGTATGTTTTGCGTACGAGATCATTACTTTTAGGAACTGTCGTATGATTGGGTGAAAAAATCTCGCGCGACTCAGTTTAAATTATTTGCAAAGACACAGGTGTCTGAAGGGTATTTTAAGGTTAATCGGTTTACTATTTCACAACTTTAGATAATTAGTTTATACAGGGAATGTCTATCTAGTATTTTATTCTTTTTGTTTGCTAAAAGCGGAGGTTTATACAGCGAGTGTCTATCTCGTATTTAGCAGATAGGACTTGTTGAATGTAATTTCAACATGCCGCATTCAACTGTCAGCGGGAAGTAAATTAAACGTAGTTCACATTGGAAAGATAGCTGCATGCCATGGTCCAGATCCTCCCCATTAGTTCCAACTAGGTCCCAGTAATTAAGTTATTCGGGGCGAATAACTAGAGAGGAAGGAGCAATGTTACGCAGCACCCTGCAGTAGCCTGCGGCTATTATAGGAAACATACAGATAGAAAAAGAAGTGGAATGTTACTCATCGCCGTACAGTATGCTGCGGTCGTAAAAGTACAAGTAAAAGAAGATATAATAGTCCAGGAAATGTCAAAACCCGTCAAGAATATTCTAGACGGCAGTTCGAGAAGGTTCCAGCTATATAAGGATGATCCTGACGTCAGTTTTAAGTTTTTATGATAGACGTTATATGTTAATGTTATCAGTTGAATAGTTATTGTAAAAGTTGAGTTGAAATAAATTGAAATATCAAAAACCTGTGTAACAGTATTTTATTTTGAGCAAAATCATATTTTTTGACAAACCCTGTAAAGGACTGAAAAAATTTGATATCTGGGGGTTGCATAAATTGTTATGAAGAATAACTTGTTTTTGTAA